CGCGGACATTGCGCAAAAGTCGGCACAGCTGGACAAGCTACACCAGAAGCATTTGCTACCGGGCTTCGGCGACGAGGATGTAAGGAAGCAGGATGAACGTATGATCGAGCGACTCACGCAGGATATAACTCGTGGGTTCCATGACTGTCAGAAGGCGATTCAGAGGATCGAAGTGATGGTGCGCGAGGCCAAGCAACAGGGCGGCGTGAGTGCAGGGGACGAGACCATGGCGAAGAACATCCAAATATCCTTGGCTTCCAGGGTACAAGAGGCTAGTGCTCGGTTTAGGAAGAAGCAGAGCACCTATCTGAAGAGTATGCACCGTTACCCTTCATGGCCATTGGGAAAATGTTGTAACCCGCGACTTGACAGAATTACGAGGGCTGGAGGGTGCTGCGGCGCCTTTTGACCGCACCCCGACGCCACAGAATCCCTACATGGATCCTTCATTAATGGAGTCCGACGCAGACAAGTCATTTTCTCAATCGACTCTCATGCAAACGTCACAGCGACTCACCGGTCAACATGACGAAGCCATTGAGCAACGAGAGCGGGAGATCAACGACATCGCAAAGAGCATCATTGAGTTGTCTGACATCTTTCGTGAACTACAAGCGATGGTCATCGACCAGGGAACGATGCTTGACCGGATAGACTACAATATCGAACGGATGGGTACTGAGGTCAAGGCAGCCGAGAAGGAACTGAAAGTGGTATGTTCATCGCTTATGAGAGATCGAGGGACTGCCAATGGACTGACAAATGCTGCTTAAAGGCCACCAACTATCAACGGCGGACGACAAAACGCAAAATCCTCCTTCTACTTATCATCCTGGTTGCAGGGATGATCATCCTACTAATAGTCAAACCAAAGAAGCATAGCTCATCAGCTCCTACACCGTCCCCTCCCCCACCCGTCGAACAGCCGCCAGCTGAGCAGCCACCGAGTCTTTTTCCTCGAACATCCACATCTGTCTATCGTCGAAAGAGGCGTCCGTTTCCGATTCAGTCTTCAGAGGACAAGTTGTTCGAACCGGGTATAAATGGGTAGTCATACTTGACAGATACGGTTATGACAAGAATAATGCATAATATCATCCTCTATAGCGCCTTCAGGAAGCGGTGATCGGATTAGGTCTAGTTTTGTAATTTATCTAGGCCCATCGCTCTCTGTGTCTTGCCTTTACAGTGGCATCTTAAAGAAAACGGGAAACGAGATGCTTCGTAGTGCCTGTCATTGAACTAGCTATCGGAACGGAACCTACATACGATGCTCATGTCCTGGGACAGCGACGCTGCCAGAGTCAAAATTGGAAGTCACAAGAGAAAGGTTCCATTGTAATAATCTGACAAATAACTCCAGCTCGATATCGGTCACATTGCAGACGGAGATTGAATAGACCAAGCCTACCAGAAGTAACTTCACAGCGTAACGAAACTATGTTGGGGAATACGGATCAAAGCCAGAATATAAAGCAGAATGCCCGGAAGAGAAAAGTAGGACCGGCAGCTTAGATGCTTTAAGGATGCTACCTCTCCTACGGATAGCCCTCCTGATTCAGTAACTCAGCGACATCAGCGTCCAGGTCGCCGCTAGCGAATTGCGCATAGTCCTCCTCTTCGTGGGCAACCTTACGCTTCTTCGAGTTGACCCCGTTGGGACTGCTCTGCTGGAGCAGGCTGGAAAGATTCAACAGACCTGGTAGTTCCGTATCAGATTGCACAATATTGGTAGGCTGTCCGATGCCTGGAAGCGAAAAACCATCCACCTGAGCCTCCTCCACGGACTCTGGGATTTTCTCCTGGGGACCTTGCTTCGGGGACCCAACAGGGGTGATTGCTTCCACTGGCGGGGGCGTTAAAGCCTCGACCTCCGGACGACCCACGGCTGGTGCCTCAGTGCCCGCGTCGCTAGGCTGAGCCACGGGGGGATTGTCGACAGAAAGTCCTCTCATGATGCTATCTTCTACGTCCCGCTTCTTCGCTTCGGTCTCCGCCTTCCTTTCAGACAGCTGCGAGAGAACGGACTGCTCTTTTGATAAGGCTGCACGATTGGTTTCAAGAAGCTTCTCAAGACCATCGATAAGCGCCAAGCGCGATTTGATGACCTCGGACACAGAACTTTCAGCATTTGCAAGCGCTTTCAATAGTTGGCTTAGACGTGCAGCGTGCACTGGAGGAGTTGGTAGGGGTGCAGCGGGATCATGCATTTTGTCGTACTCTCCATTTGCTGCAGTAGCAGACGCACCGGAGGCCATTGTCGCTTTGGACAAAGCTGCTTGCAGAGGCACCAGCGGCTGAAGTTCGGATGGGACTGAACCAGACGGGCTCGAGAAAAGGGATCCGCCCAACAATGGCTTTTTACCGGTCGAGCGTGACTTATCAATCTCTATAATTCGATAAGCCAGTTGAAACTTAGGCCGGACATAACGAGAAAAGCTTACCATCCACGCGAGCCTCTATAGCTTCCTGAATAGGTATCTCAAAAATTGACCGTTGCCTCCACACCTCAACAACTCGTCGGAGCTTCTGCTGGATATCGTTTGAAGCACCTTTGTATGCAGTTGCCATGGCCTCCGCAATGATCTACATTGAATTAACCTCCATTCTTACGCCACGCAAAGAAGTACCAACCGGAGAGAATGCGATGAGAAAATCATCCTTCCGTCTGGCTTTTGATTGTTGTGCGACTTCTAACCACTCGTTAGTTCAAGAGCACTGGTCCGATTTGCAAGATTGTACCGTTAGCAAGGTAGATAAGGTTCAGCCGTTTGGGCGCAGGCGAATCGCGAAGTTTCTGTAGCCAAAGTTGCGCCGTTCGTTCTGCATGTCGTCTGAATGTGGAGAAGTAATTAGCATCTCCTCTAAGAAACTCATTACTGTGGCCCAATTACCTGTGAAACATAACCCATTGGGCAACTGTGACGATACCCTCCTGCGTCTCGTTTAGCGCTGAGAGTTTAGCTTTGACAGCATCATCAGTGTATGCCATGCTGAAAGAAAGCCACGACTGAACGCGTCTAGAAAGCGATGCGCTGATGAGTTGAAACCAGCTGAATTGGATGCTTTGGCGGTATTGCTCGAGATTTGAGGAGCTTAGCAGCAAGTTATATTGACAAATGAATGAATGCCAGCGTGAGGTCAATTGAGAAACACAAACAGCATAAGCAGCTTCGAGTGAGAGCAGATCATCGAAGATATGATATGTAAGTAATGTGAAGGTGACTGTGTTCACGAAGTGAAGCTCATCGAAGCTCCACACCAACTACGGAAGCTTCCTGACCGCCCTCCGCGGCAGAATCCCCGGGCTCCATCAACACTCACTTCACACCTCCTCAAAAGCGCCAGCTGGAACATTACATTCAACCTCAATCTCATTTCCTTCATCCACATTGATCTACAGCACTTGCAGGCCAGTCCCGGGACTTCTAACACCTCAATTACTACTCAAAAATGGCGGACCGTTTCCCCTCACTGGAGGACTTCTCTGCGGGTTGGTTGCCCGCAACAGTCCCGCTAGTACCTGATTGACGATGCTAATCTGGATACACCCAGGCCAGACTGACGTTGTCGAAACCAACGGCGCATCGGATGAAAACGACTTCCTTGCTCGGGAGCGCGCTATTCTTGGAGATGATGCCGAACAATTTGCTACTGCTCAAGACCACGTTGCTACAGATATCGGTGATGATTTACTGGGTGGTGCGGAAGGAGCCGTGGTTGGCGAAGCAGCACCTGAGGAAATCTCGGGGTTTGAGTCTTCGTTTCCTGCTATAGAGACACAGAATGAGGTATTATTTTGCTCGTCTTAGGGCCGAGGTCGTTTGCGGAGCACTGATACCCTTCTCCCTAACAGCAAGTTGCTCCTGGCGGTACAATCACCGGAACAGGCGCACCCTTCCCGCCAACCGGCTATCCTTCTTACAAAGAGCCAGAGGAAGAGCCAGAGCCAGTCAGGTACGTCACATAGCTTTGCTGTTTTGCACAACGCTCCGCTCCTTATGCTCTTGCCCACCTGCGAGGATCCGCACGCTGACGATATGGATTGTAAAGGGAATGGCGTGAGAGACGAGACGCAGAAATCGCCCGCCGTACCGAAATTTCGAACGAGAAGAAGGAGGCGACTATCAAGAAAGCTCGGGAGGACATCGACGATTTCTATGTATCTTACAACAACAAGACGGACAAGCTCCGGGCTCAAACCCGCGCTGATGCCGAACAATTCCTTGCCAACAGGGAAGACACCTCTGCCGGTGGCACCAGCTGGGAGCGCATCGCGAAGCTCGTCGACATCTCAGGGAAGGGCGCAAAAGGTGGTGCCAGTGGATCAGGCAAGGAGCGTTTCCGTGAGTTGCTACTGGATCTGAAGAAGGATCAGAATGCCCCAGGTGTCAGCGGGATCTAGAGGTCGGGCGCCGGTCCTTGACATGACAAGCAAGACAGAGGACGACGGATCATCGAGAGACTGAAAGAAATAAATTATCTAATGACAATACACCCTGTTTCATATCGTTCTCGCATCTTGCTCACGAACACCATTACTCGCGTTTGATCAACGATGCCTTCCGTTTTATCATTTTGATCCACAATGATTGGAGCGCGAGGTTTCCTGCTTTGATGGTCATGGTTGCGTATTCGCTTCAGCTACAGCTTTTGATTCATTTACTACTGGCATATCCTTCTGGCACCTGTGTTTCTAAACCTCGGTCTTTTACCTTCTATTTATCAGCTTCGTTAAATGTATGTACAACTGCTCCTATAGTTACCTTCCGTTCACCTTCCATGCGGCTCTACCCTAGAGAATTTGCATAATTCGCCAGGGGTTAAACCTAGGGTAGCATGCAGTAGATTGCCGACGAGTGGCAGTTGTCACATGGTCTTGATTGGAATCCTTCAAAAGCTGGAGAGAATAACCCTGGATACTGTCTGCAATACATTGAGCAGAATAGATGACTGGACTCAATCAGCTCAAAGAGTAACTATAACATTCCCCAGTTGCGTTAATCCAACTCGGTAACATCTCCGCCAGGTTCACCAATATCTTCTACATGCTTTTCCTTTCTGCCCTCAGCTTCAATTTCCTCAAGCTTCTTCCTGCCTTCTTCTGTGGTCGCGTCAACGATGCCTTCCTCAAGGCTTAGCAAGCCGCCAGCCCCGAGCTTCTCCACAACTTCTTCGGCTTCGTTAACGGGCATTTTACCAAGTACCTTGTTGACTTTATCAAGGGATTCCGAGGCCAATGCCTTCTGCAGATCTTCCGAGAAAGACTCGAAGATCTTGCGAGCTTCAATCTCTGCCGGGTCATTGCTGTCTGCGGGCGGGATATTGATAGTGATCTTGGTGTTGGGATCCACGGCATGCAATTGAATCTGCTCTACTCCAGCAGGGTCATTGGCAGCTGAGCTATCTTTGGCAAGTTCCGCTGCGCGGGTTTTGATTTTGTTGTAGGTTTCGTTCACGTCGTTACGGAAAAGTGTTGACGCTTGATGGTCTTTCGTCGTGATTCTGTTGATCAGACTATCTTAGCAACAATCCCACACATTTAATGATCAATTTGGACTTACCGCTTGAAGAAAAGTGAGATTCCGTCTCGACCTAGAGAACGGCAATATTGCAACAACAGCCCCTGGTGTACGCACTGACGAGCATACTCCTCATTTCCTTCCATCTGGCTGTTGAAAGCTTCAACTAGAAGGCCATCTGTCTCTTTCTCTGCGACAATCTCTGGATGTTCCGAGATAAATTGAAGCAATGCCCTATAGTCATTACGGTTGATGCGAGCAAACTTCTTCGCCAGATCGCTCGCTTTGACATCTTCCGGGTCGACTTGCTCGTTATCATCAGCTTTCGGTGCCTCATTTTGTACTGCACGTGGATTTAGAAGTTCCACAGATTCTGCTTTCGCCGTAGCCGGTGCCTTGCCCTTATCCTTTGATTTTGATACGTAGGATGTGTCGAATCCAGTATGCAGCATATCGCTCGTAATCTTGCTGGACTCTTCCTTCTCCAGCTGCGCAAGGCGAGCCAGCAATTCTTTCTGTAACCCCTGAACTTTGTCCTGGTGACCTTCTACACCCTTGATGTATGCCTGGTATCGGTTATCGGGACTCGACTCGCCGATCTCCTTCTTAACTTGATCAACTAAAGCACTTAGCATTTGAGAGTACTTTGGCTGCTCCTTTTCGTGTGTATGAACGCCCTCTGGTGGGGCAGGTGCCTGGTCTTCAGCGGGGTTGCTTGCCGACTCCATCACGGCTTGGAAGACCAGCTCCTCAGGATCCCGTGAAGATCCTTCATGCTCGCGAAGCAATGCAAGGAGCTTATCTATACGTGAGAGGAGACCGTCATTGATAATTCGCTCGTACTTAAGCGTCTCAATCTCCATACGGCGCTGCTGCCGTTGCTGATGGATCTGAGCCTGCTTTGCTCTAATGAAGGAGCGCTTGTCGACATTAGGGTGAACCTCAATATCCGAATCATCGGACAGTTCAAGAGCATCCCATTTGCTGTAGTCCAAAACCATCGCGGCGATTCGTGGTAATACGCTCAAGGAAAAGCCGTTGCTGGTATTATGAGGGGTGCGAAACCGTGCGATAGGCGGGGTAGAAACAAAGTATTACAACAGTATGGACGATGAATGATAATAAGAGACAATTATGTCCACAAAGATGTGCGATTCAAGAGAAAAGCTGGTAGAGATCATCAAGTTTGAATGACTCAAGCTACTCGATCAAGGCCAGCAAGATAATTAGTGGCTCAAAACAAATGTGAACCTCATGTATATTTAAGTCACATGCATCGAAAGCTCTCGATCAGCTTCGATTGCGGCCGAACCTCCGTGGAAGGCGGTTCAAGATGGCAGAATCTTGTCTTTGGGAAAGCCGCACTGCCGACTCCGATGCCTGTCCGACCGACCGAACAAGCATAGTTTCAACTTCAGCTGACGCTCGCATTTTACGTCGCATCAGCGTTGCAAACACCTGTCCATTCCTTGAGCGGCAATTGAGCTCGACAGTGTCATGATCAGCATAAGATTAGTGTTCCCGTGACGAGATATGGCATCCAGCTTCTCTTCCGTGACATCATTCTGAATCCCCGTCCAATTCCGCATCTTCTCTCCAAATTTCCAGATGCGCGGGATTAGATCGCTTCCCTGCTGGGCTCCTGGGTTGAGCACGAAGCGAGTTCCTCGACAAGCACTCTTTGCTGAGCTATATCCCAACGCCTGCGCAATTTCTTCAACGCAGAGCGCTCGCAATGGTCTCGTCCGACGGTTTTCGGGCTGCATCGGGTCAATAAGCAACAGTTGGAATCCGCTCCCGCGTCAATCCGCAATCGCCTCCTCGTTATACGCCAATGTCTATAGTAAAGGTTTTTCAACCGTTCAACCGCGGTTTGTGAGTACAGTCAGACTCCTCTCCACCTCCCAGCGACCATTGGAGGCAAAGCCGAACGTCGAGTCGACTGGCGGTCAGGGAGTGAGGTCAGAGATACACCAGGATCAGGAGCATGAGGACATCGAGAAAGGTTTTGAGCTGTCAGAGAAAGCCGCTCAGGCAGCACAGGTCAACCTCAGCGCGAAGCTCGCCAAAGATGGTGCTGCTGGAAAGAAGTCCGGATTCAGGGAAATATGGAGGCTCTTACTGATCGCTCGACCGGAGGCGAAGAAGCTCGGCTTCGCCTTTCTTTTCTTGCTGGTATCGTCTGGTATTACAATGTCCATTCCATTTTCAATTGGGAAGATCATGGATACTGCTACAAAAGCGACTACAGAAGGTGGTAATGAGCTCTTCGGTCTGAGCCTTCCCATGTTCTATGGTGCGTTGGCTGGAATTCTCACTCTGGGCGCTGCGGCGAACTATGGTCGCATTATCATCCTGCGTATCGTTGGTGAGCGCATCGTTGCCAGGCTTCGCTCGAAACTCTTCCGCCAGACGTTTGTGCAAGATGCAGAGTTCTTCGATGCGAATCGGGTCGGTGACTTGATTTCTCGTCTTAGCTCTGATACCATTATTGTCGGCAAGAGTATTACACAGAACCTATCCGATGGACTGCGCGCGGCAGTTAGCGGTGCAGCAGGGTTCGGTTTAATGGCCTATGTCAGTCTCAAGCTCTCCAGTATACTGGCTCTCCTCCTCCCTCCTATCGGCCTTGGGGCGTTTTTCTACGGACGAGCGATTCGAAACCTGAGTCGTCAAATCCAGAGAAATCTTGGAACATTGACTAAGATTGCGGAGGAGCGTCTGGGCAATGTCAAGACTAGCCAGTCCTTTGCTGGCGAGGTTCTCGAGGTTCGCCGGTATAACAATCAAGTGCGAAAGATTTTTGACCTTGGCAAAAGGGAATCCTTGATCAGTGCCACGTTCTTTAGCTCCGTACGCATCTGTCACCCAACCCTACCGCTTATCATAGATCTAACCTTATCTAGACCGGGTTCGCTGGCAACATGACCATCCTGGCATTGCTCTACGTAGGAGGAGGCATGGTCCAATCCGGTGCCATAACCATTGGAGAATTAACTTCATTCCTGATGTACACGGCGTACGCAGGGTCAAGCATGTTCGGTCTTTCGAGCTTTTACTCTGAACTGATGAAAGGTGTCGGGGCAGCTAGTCGACTGTTCGAATTGCAGGATCGTCAGCCAACTATATCTCCCACCAAGGGCGAGAAGGTCGTCTCGGCGCGAGGACCCATTCGCTTCGAAAACGTGACTTTTAGTTACCCAACTCGGCCTGCTGTTCCCATTTTCAAGGATCTCTATTTCGAAATTCCGCAAGGGACCAATGTTGCAATCGTTGGGCCCTCGGGAGGTGGGAAATCAACAATCGCTTCAATCTTGCTCCGTTTCTACTCTCCTACCGAAGGAAGAGTTCTAATCGGGGGCAAAGACATCACCCATATGAACGCCAAATCCCTTCGACGAAAGATTGGCATCGTCTCCCAAGAGCCTGTCCTCTTTTCGGGGACCATAGCGGAGAACATTGCGTATGGAAAGCCTCAGGCCAAACGGTCAGAGATCGTTGCAGCTGCGCGCAAGGCGAACTGCCAGTTTATAAGTGACTTTGTAAGTTACTCGACCTCCATTTTCGTTTACACATGCAGCTGACTCAGTTGTCCAGCCGGATGGCCTCGACACCCAGGTGGGACCCCGAGGCGCTCAGCTTTCTGGTGGCCAGAAGCAGCGCATTGCGATTGCCCGGGCTCTGATCAAGGATCCTGATATTCTCATACTTGATGAAGCAACTTCTGCTCTCGATGCAGAGTCGGAAACTCTTGTGAACAGCGCTCTTACCGCGCTCCTTCGTGGTAACAATACTACCATCAGCATCGCTCATCGACTCTCTACAATTAAGAGATCCGATACGATTATTGTCCTTGGTCCCGACGGAAGGGTAGCCGAACAGGGCAGTTATGAGGAGCTCAGTGCTCGGCCTGACGGCGCCTTCACCAAATTGATGGAATGGCAGCTGAGTGGCGGTGAGGTGACGGACCAGCCCGTCACTGCTGCCAACCCAGTGGCGCAGGAAACCGCATGGGACATGCCGAGCGAGGATGTGACAGAGGTGTCCGAGGACACCATCATCTCCCCTGAGTCGCGGAAAAGTGATTAGTGCTTTGGATAGATTCTCGGGTGGGGGGAGGCGCTCACATAGGCTCCCTTGCTTGTCCGCTTATTTCTTTTGTTTTCTTACGTTAACTCCCCTCTTTGCGAGTTTGGCATCTTGGCCTATAGAATATCCCCTTTATTTTGTGTCTATAAATTTCTTCTTAGACGGTCAATAGTGTCAAATGTTGGCGGCATTCGGTATTGATGAAATAGGTCCCTTGAGGGAAAAATCATCCTGGACATGTAGTAAGACAAATTGAAGTATAGGCAAACCCAGTGCACGAGTCGCATCCATCTGCAACACTCTGAAACCGTGGAATCGAAATCGGTGATTTTCGAGTCTCCTCTACGGAGCAGTCCGTAGGCTATACGCAACCAAAAATAAGGCAACAACACATGACATCGTAGGTCACAAGTCTTGGCACCATTCCTCCTGACAGCACCTTCGACCATCACTGTTAAGCACCTTGGCTTCATGGCGGGCTGTGGTTCCTGAAAGCCATCAAATGTTAACTATGGCTTGATTGCTTCCTTTTCATCTATCCATTTCCTATTGTTGGAAAGGACTGAACAAACCATATAGAACAGCAATGGATCGCGTTCGGCGGTTGATCACTCGCCCACAGGCCTACGAGCCGATAGTGCACCCTACGGAGGTTGATGGCGATGATCATGGTTCAATCTCCCCTCAAGCACAGCATGAATCGCCTTTCTCCAGATATGAATATGCTGTATTCTTTATTCTGGGGGTGTCAATGTTGTGGGCATGGTACGCTCCTCACACCTGTGTTACCTCCTTCTCCATCTGACCTCTATCCTGCCGATTTTAGCTGAAAGCTTTCTGACTCTGCCGTACCTGGATTAGGAACATGTTTCTTGCCGCAGCACCGTATTTCTATCTCCGTTTCCGGTCGGACAACTGGGTAGCAACCCATTTCCAACCTTCGATTCTAACAGTCTCGACCATCACTAACCTGGGCTCCGCATTCATTCTCGCCAAACTGCAGAAAGGAGCGTCGTACCCGAGACGAGTAACGCTTTCTCTACTTATAAATATTGTCGTCTTCTCGCTGTTGGCGCTTTCGACAGTCTTTATGAAAGATATCGATGTTAAAGCCTACTTCAGCTTTCTGATGTTCATGGTATTTGGGGCAAGCTTGGCAACCGGCATCAATCAGAATGGTGTCTTTGCCTATGTGTCTGGGTTCGGGAGAGAAGAATATACACAAGCGATTATGGCAGGACAGGGAGTAGCCGGCGTGCTTCCCTGTGTGGTGCAAATTATCTCTGCTTTGGCAGTGCCGGAGAGAAAGGGACAAAACATGCCTCAGGCTTCATCAAAGTCCGCATTCATGTATTTCATCACAGCCACCACAATTGCTGCTATGTCGCTGGTCGCCTTCCTTTCCCTTGTCAGACGACGGTCGGGTATATCCCTACAGTTGCCAGAGGAGCAACACGATTCAATTTCCTCTGGTTATGCTCATAAGACGGTGAGTCTCTGGGTTTTGTTCAAGAAGCTACGGTTTCTTGCATCGGCTCTGTTCCTTTGCTTTGCCGTTACTATGGTGTACGCGGTCTTCACCGCAGAAATCGAGTCCGTACATCAAGATTCCAGTCGTTCCCGGTTATTCTCTCGAGAAGTCTTCATTCCAGTGGCTTTTCTCTTTTGGAACGCCGGTGATTTAATTGGGAGAATGTCAGTCATTGTCCCCAGTCTTTCATTAGCCCATCGTCCTTGGCTCCTTTTCCTCATTTCTGTGGCCCGCCTTGGGTTCATCCCACTTTACCTGCTTTGTAACATTGGCGGGAGAGGGGCTATTGTACAGAGTGACTTCTTCTATCTCTTCGTCGTGCAGCTTTTGTTCGGGATTTCCAACGGATACCTTGGCAGCAGCTGTATGATGGGAACTGGT